TCTAAGATAGGGTCTCATGAACTATTTGCTGGGGCTGGCTTGAACCACAATCCTCTTGATCTGCCTCCTGAGTAGCTAGGATTACAGGCGTGGGCCACCAGCAACCTGGCTTTGTGATGTCTTCCTTCCTTATCTGGTATAGGATTCCTTTGAGTATTTTCTGCAATGCTGGCTTAGTGGTCATGAATTTACTTCTTTATTTCCTCATTGATTTTAAAGGACAATTTACATATATTATTTTTGGTAGTTATTTACTCTCATGGCCTGAATTGTCACTCTAGGCTTTCCTAGGTTTGGAGTTTCTGTGAAGGACTGATTAATTCTCCTGTTTTTGCCATTGTAACTAAGTTGACATTTCTCTTGCAGTTTTCATATCCTTTCTTTGTTGCTAGACTTGGCATTTCAACTATAATGTAGCAGAGAGAGATTATTTTCTGATCCCATCTATTTGGGTTCAATGCCTCCTGTACTTGATGTCCATAACTTTCCCTACATATGGTAATTTTTCTGCTGTAATTTCATCAAATACCTTCCCATGCTTAGTTCATATCTCAGCTACTTCTTATTGTGTCCCAGAGTTCTTGAAAATTGTGTTTATTCTAAGTATTTTTTGGCTACTGGAATGCAGTATTTCCTCTACCATTAATTCTGATATTCTTTCTTTGTATGTTTTGTCTACTGTGATCATTTCCACTGTCTTTCTATTAGTTCATTGAATTTTTCATTTCCACATTCTGTTTCCTTTTTTTCAGAACCTCAATATTCTTGCCAACTTCTTGTCCTTGTGCTGACATTTTTATCTGGGCATTTGACTTCTGAGTTCCTTACTCATTCATCAGTTTGTTTGAATCATCTTTATGCAGCTGATCATTTTGTAAAGTATAGTTTTGAATTCTTGGTATGCAGCCAAAAGAATGTCTGAATTCAACTATGAAGTTTGGAGGAACATATTGCTTTATTTTTTCATATTGCTTGTTTCTACATTGTGATTTTAGCATCTGTTGGGATGTAGATTTCCTTGTTTTATTTGTTTGTTTATTGATGGATGAGTCTCTTAGTGACTCTTGGTGTCACAATCCATGCTATCACTCAAAGAGAGCAGGCAATGTTTATGAATTTCAAAAGCACATCAATATTTAGCTTAATATAAAACAATTGAAACAACACCACCCCCAATAAGTCACAAATGAATACTTGTAGGATACAGTGAGAGTTAAAACTACTAAATCTATAATATTATAATAAGTGCTAAAATGAATGAGGGTGGGGAAAGGAAAAGGGAGAGAAGCAAACATGAAAGAGGAACAGAATATGAGGTGGAAACACTAGATATAATTAAAGAGAACAGGGCAAAGTGAGAGTCAAAAGACAGGACAGTCAAAATAGAAAAAAGAAAAAGGAAAAGAATGAAACAGAAACTGTTTAATTTTTCCTCTCTAAATTTCTAAGAAGTTTTTAATGCATCTGTTAAGGGCTGAGCCCTGACCTGTCTTCCCTTTTGGGTTGGATGCAGGACAGTTTCCCCTGTAAGAAAGCCTGAGGTGTAGGAAATACAGGTTGGTTTACCACTGTAAATAAATTCCAGAGTAATGGCTGCTGGCCACCAATTTCTCTGTCTCTCTGGAGGTGTACAAAGTGCTCAAGACAATTCAGCTTGCACTGGCTGGCAAGGCACAGGACTCAATTGATCCTGACTGCCTTAGTCTCACAAGTCTGTCTCAGCACAGACACCTTGCTTCTCCTTTCTTCTTAGGTCAGAGTTGTGATGCAGCTCTGCCTCTGCTCCACCACAGTTCTCACGCACATCTCTGCATTATTGCTTTGGTCCTAGACTCTGCAGCTGGGCTCCTACTGGCACTTCCCACCCAATAGATTCTGTTGGTGAATCTGAGATCAAGTTGTTAGCGTAGGCAATAGAGGAGAAAGTCCTTAGATTATGATGCTGGGCTCCTTTGTGGGCAATGTGATATGTCAGTCTCCTGTCTTTTTTTTTTTTTTTTTTGAGTGCCAGTTGTGTGTTCCTGTGGATCCTTATGAGGCTTATTTTCCTTTGCTTTAGCCCCACCTCGGGGACGGACTTTCCCCCTCCCTACCATTCTGCTCAACAATCCATGTGAGAATTTGTTGTTTCTTTTATAATCTGAAGTTCAATATTTTGGATTCCACCTGAACTCTATTGTTTACTGCTGCTTTCCTTGCTGTTTTCCTCACTACTCTTCTCTCTCTGATCCATGAACCTGATGTTTTTGTTTCAGATTCATGAGACACAGGAAAGTGCTGGGTATCTCCGATCCCATCTTAACTCTCTCCCTAAGCTTAATCAATAACTAAGGATTAGCCAAGAAAAAAAAATGGGGAAAAAGTAGAGGAAAATCCTGTTAGCATTTAGAAGTGACAGTCACACAGATGAAACATAGACTGTGTTGTTTGTTGGTGTCATTAGCCATTTGGTGTTGCTGTAACTGATAGGATGAGGCCTGCAGAAACTTAGGCCTGCTAGTGTGCTTACTGAGGGCTTGGTCTTGTACAGCCACAGTTGGGGAAGGACAGAGGAATAGAAAGGACGGTGACAAGATCAGGTTTTTGAGTACCTTTCTATGCCTCTGTGGAGTATTTCATGTTTTGGAGTACAAAACAAGAAAGCCTCAGGTAAACCATGAAAGATCCCGTCCTGCCTCTGTGTTTGTTGTTGTGTGTGTGTGTGTGTGTGTGTGTGTGTGTTTACTTTCCTATACTACTTTAGACTTACTAAATCTGATCCACTTCAACACACCTTCCCCACACACACTACTCATGCAGGTGGGGTGTTCTGTCCCAGTACCTATCCTTGAGCACTGATTAGTCCAGCATAGAGATAACAAGATGGTCCTCCTAACTTCTCAGAAAGAATAACATACTATTTAGTTTGAGAAACAATTTATTATCAGTACCAGCTTGTCCTGTTTCATAGTACCAAAACACTGTAAAGTATTCACGCAGGGATACATTGAAAACCCTTTTGAACACCAAACTTGAATATTAATGATGAAAGACTGTAAAAAGGTACAGTATGTGTTGGGGGGGATACTAGTGGGGGAATGGGAAGCAGATTAAGGTAAAGGTATATGGTTTGAAGACTTCACATACTTATATGAAATAGAGCAAAGAAACCTCTTGCAATTGCTTAAGTGGGACTGGGAAGGAGTTGAGGGGGAGGGATGAGGGAGGTGATCTAACCAATGTACAATAGAAGCCTAATTGCCATTGTCACTATGTATCCACCCCTGTATAATGAATACATTCTAATAAAAATTTATAACAAAAAAAAAGCTGATGGAAAGGCAATTGAATTGGTCCTAGCTGAAAGTATAATGAATTGGTCCTAGCTGATAGTTTTGACATAAACATATCTTCCAGAAAATCTTTTATAAAAAAAAAGCCTGATTGCCTCATACCATTTCAAGTCACCAGACAAACATACCTTTACAGCAAAACTGAACCAAGTCTGCTCCTCAAAAACAAATGCATGTTTTTCCCCCCCTCAAGGAAACCTTCCCCAGTAGTCCACGGACGCTTGAAACGATAAACCCCATTACTCTATATACAAAATTTAAGTACAATTACTCTAAATCTTTTACATTTGAAAAAAGCAATATTACATAGCAGCCATATTTTTCCTTCAGCAAATATTCTTTAGGGATTATCATTTCAGTTACAACTCTATGTACCTAGTCCTTACCCTACCTTCAAAGATATATAAGGTATACGCTAGTATAGATATTAAGGAGCTTGAGGAGCTATAGATATACATAAAGTAGGGATAGGACTAGGTACACACACACACACACATAAATAGATGGATAGATATAGAGATAGAGATATATATTGTTCTTTGTGTTCCTTCTGTTGCTTATCAGGAGCATGTACAACTTATAAAAGCTTTGTTTGCTGTTGTTGTTTGGTGCATTTACCTCAACTTGCTCTCTACTTCTGAGCTATATCCCCAGTCCTAATAAGATTTTAAAACACCATTACCTTCCCCAAACTATTTCCCTCCTACCTAATCACTTAAAAATAGTGAAACCAATTTCTTTATCCTAACACTATTAAGACACACTTTATTTAGAATACTATCTTAACATTTTCTAAAAGTCTCTTGTCTCAGTCCAAAATCATATTTTTAGAGCTGCAATTAAATATTAATTTTCATCTCCCAAATTATTAGTCTTCAGCATAACTTCAGTATAATTAGTACAATTCTTCATTGTATTCTAGGATAAGACATCATCATTTATGACCTCTATACTCAGAACACTTAGGTCACTTCCAGTTTTCATGAGACCTAATGCTGCAGATGCAACATAGAATCTCTTCTGATAAACTGGGACATCCTGCGGGAAGCTCCCCAGAGCCAAATCCCTGGGAAAAAGGTAGAAATTCCTTTGTGGTCTCTGATACATGGTTGGCATGCTGATTTCCAGTTTTATAATGCAAGCAAAATGTTGCTACACCTTTTTTTATCCAAGAAATTTGAATTTTTTTTTCTACCAAAATGTTACTATTTTCTCTCTCAGTTCTTTTTTTAACAACATAGAAACTGTACGCATTTATGGGGTTCCAGGGCATTTCATACATGTAATATTATATTTGACTATTATAAAATGTTCAAAACAAGGGAACTGCCATTCATCACCTTAAATGTTTATCATTTTCTGGATAACATTTAGTACACTTTTGTTCTAGATATTTTTTGAAATTAAGACAGTGATAAATTAAATCATGAATGCTAACCCTGCAGTCACCACAGGAATTTCAGATCACAGTTCTGAGGGTGTCCTCTCATTCTTAGTCAACTTCTGCTCTTAAATCTTAAGAGATATTTAACATCAACTTCCAACATGACAAAGAATCAACCATAAAGAATGACTACAATATTATTTATTATGAGAATATTATACTGCTGCCATTTTCAACTTAGACATTTATCAATGGCATTTAACCATACAAAAGATAACTGCAAGCAAAACAATTGTATTTTATTAAAAACTGAAAAGTTACAGTACAGACTTTTTCATATTCTTTTACAAAGAAAAATGAAAGAACTGACTCAAGCTCAATGATATTTAGTTTTCAGTCAAACTAACAAAACCATTTTTGAAAACCATGAAAATCTATAACCTGATTTATTCAGGGTATAAACACATATTTTTCTCTCAGCAAGAAAACTCCAATGCACTAGTTTTAGAGTGATCTGTTCAGTACAGCTGGGTTAGTTTAAATAGCAAATTACTATTTCTATTTCATGTGTGTGTATGCACATGTGCAAGTACAAAGTAGCCAATTTTAATAATAAACATGAAGGATCAGAGTACTCTGTCATTTTACTATTCATAGGGCAATAAATACCATTTCTTAATCCTATTTTTTAATCTCTTAGATCAAAACCAACCAGTTTCAGAATGGTGTGTGGCTAGCACATATTACATGAAACAATTCTGGCTAAGTATTAACTATCGCATTCAGCCATTTAGTGTTAGAAGATACCCTATTTTACCTATTAGATCACTTTATCCAGTTTTCTTAGAAAAGGGAAGCTAGTTGAATCAAAGTGATTAAAATAAACCCACTTTTAAGCCAGGCCTGGTGGTGTATATCTGCAATCCCAGCTACTCAGAAGACACAGGCAGGATGATTATGGTCCCAGGCAAGCCAGAGAAAAAGCAAGACCCTATCTAACAACAAACAGACAAACAAACAAACAAACAAAGGGCTAGCAGTATGGCTCAAGAGGTAGAGCACCTGCCTAGCAAGTCTTTACAAAAAATAATAGTAATAAAAGTAAAAATAAATTAAAAAATTTAAACCCCATTTTAAAAACTTATTTTACATTGTCAACACTGCACATTTTTACGATGTTACTGTATTTCTCAACAGACAGTCTTTATTGAGCCACTGGTATTATTTAAATAATTTTATTTATTATTTCCATAGCTCTATTCCTATGTCCTCCCTCTTAAATGAAGAATAAGAAGCGAGGACAAGATGACATTTTTAGGGTACATGCTGTCAGTAAACAAATGCACTACTCAGATACTGTGTTGACTCTAAGGCAAAGACATGAGATGTGACCATTAAGGTATGGTAAGACCTATGATTTTCCACCCCTAAAAATGGCATTTACATAGGACTTTAGCATCTTACAGTACTTTGAAGTATAACTATTATGAAAATACTGAATAAAATCAAAACCTGCTACAAAATTTACAGCACATACACTATCATAGCTGCTCGTAAAAACGTACTGCGTTGTCTGAGTTGGAAATGATTTTAATAAAGAATCCCATAAGGCAGAACTAAAGCATAATGTGGCATTTGCTAATACAGTACTTGCTTCCTTTTGCAAATACCATGTAAACTGGTCTTTAACCAACAAAAAACAATCCCTAATTTTTATTTCTTGAATTGTGAAGAAATCTGGCCATGTGAGGAAAAGATCCTCTGACAGCAAATCTGCGAACCAGTGCACCAACAAGTTGACTGGAATGCTGACAACTCTTTTGGGTAAGGGAACAGAGGGAACTGGTTTGTGACAGCTCATCACAGGTAACACAGCTTTTCTTCACTCACCCACGCAGGTGGCTCTCAGACAAGGTTCACCTTTCAGAAGAGTCTTCATGGTGGTAACAGAGAAATGCTGAGGTCATCCTAGTCACAATGTGATGGATCAAACGACGGCAGATATGGAATTTGACAGGTGTAATTGCTCTCATTTCTCCAGGCTCCAGAACAAAAGCAACAACCGACAGAATCAAAGTATCTTTAGAGGATGTTAGACTCATTAAAACTAAATATCAGAGAAAATATTGTCAAAAGTCCTTAGTAAGAGTGCACTTACACTTTGCCTCTAAATAATGTTTCTTGTTAAGGATTAAAACTTTCTCCTTTTTTAGCCCTTCTTCCTTTCTGCATTTCAACTGTTTTCTTGTATTTAAGGTTTTGTAATTGAGTGACTTTGATATTGGATGTTGATTCAATTCAGCCTTCTCACTGAATAAGAAAGCCTCCTTGACAATAATGCTCAAGATGTGTTTGCACTGAATTTACAAATTACTTATTGCTATGATCAACTATTCAAAATTTAATTGCATTTAATTCCACAAGGAAATAAACAGGTACAAAGATAAAACTGTGCACAGACTAGCCATACCATATAAAGACAGGTGACAAAAACCTAATACTGCTTTCTATTAAGTAATGATTTTCAACTCATTTTATACCAAGTTATAAATTTTTAAATGTCTACTTCATTCTTGGATTCAACACTATACAATCTTAGTACAACTGAGATACTTTTCCTATGACCTCTTTAACATTCTCCTAGTGTGCTAAAGACTCAATGTAACAAATTTAATATAAAATTATGACAATTATTGGTAATATCTAATATAAATGTTTAAAAATGTATTCTTATGAATTTGTACCAAAATAAAGCTTCTGATGTATCTGTAGGCTCATATTTGATGACCAGTTAATGATGTAAGCAAAAAATACCTGAATAAGTTAACATTTACGTACAAAAATAGAGAATATATACAGTGAGCTTAATGGCATCTCATAGAATTATATATTAGAATACTATATTTATCAAGCTGATTAAAAAGTTCATGATTTAAAGTGTGAATCTTTTTAGATTATCAGGAGACAATCCTATTCTGAATGCTTTAAAAGCTTAGTAATTTTTCATCTTCCCCATCAAATGAGATTTGTGTGCTTGAAAAATATGGAGTAATAGCAGGTACTTCTCTGGAAGATGCCTGGAGTGTCTCAATATTAGAAAGTTTGTTGTTGTTTAGGAAAGAACCTAAGCATGCATTTCATAGTTCTTTTATCCTGCACATCCAGATCAGTAAAAGACTGTGGTAAGGAAAGCCACAAGGTTGGAAAGAGTCCACAAATCACGTATTTTGTCAAAATAACTATTTTCTGCCTACAAAACCAAGGAAAGTTAAGAAACACAAGGAGAACTCAAGTCATAAACACTGTAACTGGGCTTGTTCTACCAGCCAGCAGTTACACCAATTAGTGTCTCGATTCTGTTTCAAAGACAACTACTTCTTTCTTTTCTGAGGTTTATGAAGCCATAGTGCAAAATTATTAGAAACAGAATTAAATAGACTCAACACTAAAACAGAACATAATTGATTCTTCTTCGATGTGATGTGAAAAACAAATTCTTGGCCTGGGAATCAGATCAGGTTTTCTTGATCTCAAGGCTGAGAGGTCTTGAACAAGTTACTTCACCTTTCTGAGACTATTTCCTCCAACGGCAAATAAGATGGTTGTACTGGATAAACTTCAAAGGCCTGTCAAATCTGACTGAAACACTAAGTCAGAATCTGGCCTAGTGCTTCTCAAATGGTATGAAGAACAATTACCATCACAGTGCAGCATTAAAATAATTCCAAGTTGGAGGATTTTCTGATGCTTGTATTATGATTAGTCGGAGTTTTCTACACTTGCTGCAGCTAATAATAAGTATTGTTTATCTAATAAAAACATAACAAATGCACTTTATATTATACATAAAGTCTACTTTGACATTCACTTGGATGGTCTGGAAAAATTGTGTATTTATATAGCCTTATTTAATTCCCTTATAGTTGAAATCCTGTACCTTCTCAACTCAGCAGCAAAAGAAGAACACAGGGAGAAGAGAGGTAAATTTGGGTTAAAGTGTTTATATGAAGAATAATAGAGTGCTTTTATTCTTTAATTTTTTATATTTGAAATTTAAAAATGAACTTTTAAAAACTATATACCTAATGCATAAAACCAAGGGTCTCTAATGGTACAGCACTGCTGTGAAAGACTTAGTTTACTGTCCAGTCTGAATGCTCTACCAACCCAACAGTGTACTCGGCACTATTTTTAAGAAACGGCGATGTATTTTCTGGCTCTTCTTTTAACAATTTTCAGAACTGAGATAGTAGCAGAGGACTCAGAGCTCTGCTTCTTCTACCTCAAGCCAGAGGCTAAGCATGTTGAAGTCGTATTTGGAGGAGGGCTTGGTTGAGTGCCAGATGCAACCTTAGGACTAGGATAAATAATTTCTTCAACAGTTATGTATGTACCTAGCAAGAAGCCAACAACTCCAGTGAATGCTATAGAAATATTTTTCAGGACCATCCATATGTTGTAATGCTCCTTTGAAAATGTAAGGATTTCAACCAGAGGTGGTAGGATCAGGGCCAACGTGCTGCTGCTCACAGCTCCAACAAAGGAAATCACAATGTCTAAACGAGGAATGAGAATTGCTCCAGCACCTAGAAAACAGAAATACATGCTCTTCTAAATTTAAATGTTTGGCACTAATTACATGAATACTAAATGTAGATCTTTTCAATACAGTAAATGTAATTAACAGAAGTCAGATTCTAAACTACTGCTTGTGGAAAAATATTTTGCTCTGAGTGATGAAAGAAAACAAACTAGAACAGAGAGTGATCTTTCCTGGACTTTCACTTGTGAACAGTTTAACTTTATTTTTCCGCTGTAAGTTCAGGTAGTTTATTTCCAAAGCATTTCCATTATTCTGCCTCCTACACAGCTCATTCTACAATACACAAAAGAGGGTGGTATGGTTTGAGTAAGTAAGAGATAGTTTACAATAGAATTCCAATTAACTGATATAAAAGCAACAATGGAAACAGCAAATCACAGTTATGCAAACACCACTATAATCACTGAGCAAGAAGAGTTGCTGAAGGAGACTAAAACTTGTGGTCAAAAACTGGATGAGTTACATATGGTGGTGCACAACTTCAAGCCTAGCACTAGAGAGACTAAAGCAGGAGGACTGCTAGTCAAGGCCAGCTTGGGCTACACAGCAAGATGCTGTCTCCAAAAAGTCAAAGGCCTAGGATGTGGTTCAGTGGTATAGCACTTGTCTAGCATGCCCAAGGACCTGGATTGGATCTCCAACCCTACAATGAAAAAAAAACTGAATGAGATAAGGATATTTACAAACTCTAAAAGTATCTTCCCTAACACACTAATGATAAAAGGAAAACAGTTCTTTGGAGTACAGAAATATGTCAGAGACCACCTTAACCAAATTATCAAAGCTAACATAACCAATAAGAGATAGGGGCACTGGGATGTAGTACCTAGCATCAGTCTTGTGGTATTTTTGCTAAACGTGCCTAACTTTAAACCAGGTGTGGTGCTATACATCTGTAATCCCAGTACTTGGGAGGATAAGACAAAAGGACCACAAGTTTGAGGCCAGCCTGGAATATAGAGTCAGACTGTCTCAAAAAAAGAAGAAAAAAAAAAAAGCTTAATTTCAATCACAAGAAAGCACCAGAAAAATCCAAACTGAAGGAAATTCTACAAAACTACTGGCATTTCAAAAGCATCAAGATCCAGAAAGGCAAGGACTATCAAGATTAGAAGAAAGTAAGAAGACATGACAACTAAATTAAAGTGGAACCTCAGATTCAATCCTGGACCAGAAAAGGCTATTACTGGCAAAACTACAGTAAGGTCTATAAATTGTAGCATTGTATCCATGCTATTATCCTGGTTTTAGTAACTGCATTATGGTTGTACACCTGTTAACATCAGAGGAAGTTAAGTAAAGGGTTTATAGTAACTCTACTTAATTTGACAACTTTCCTATCTAAATTACCTCAAATTGAAGTGATTTTTTTCAGTAAGTCAAGTTGTGCTTAAAAAGTAATATTAGAATTTCTTTGTGTTTGGAGCCTTCCAAACCCTCTTTTCTAGCTCTTCATGAACTATGTGAGTTGTTATAAACTACAGTCACTTTACTGTACCATAGAACATGAGAATTTACTCCTCCTACCTAATGGCATACTCCAGTATTGTGAGCAGGATTATCTTTCCAAGTCATTCACAAGTTTTCTGTAAGTTTTAATCTGCTGCTTTCTTGATGGTATCTTGATCTTACCAAAAGGTACCCACAGCAGATGTGCAAAAACCTAGTCTTATATTCTTTCTTCAATTCATCCTTAAATCATCTGCTGAGTGGTTTACTGAGGGTTTGGAGTTTGTTCCTCTGGAAGCTGTGGACATTACCGGTGCCTCCAGACATAATCCTGCCACCATGCTGCTTCTCTGACGTCCAATTACGCAGCTGGCAGCTGTCCATGCTGGTCTCCCATTGCTACCATTTTCTCTCTAATCCTTGTTATCCTGCTCTGTATTTCTAAGTCCATTTCCTTTTGTTTCTCAACACTTCTACCTTCTTTGTCTTTTACTAAACTTCTGTGAGGTATCGATATGTCTATACCTATACATACAGTTTAATTTGTCCTTTTTGTAATTTAATCTTGATTTGCAGTCTACTGGTTTCTCTATTTGTTAATTTTTGTTCATGAGTTTTTTAATCCCTTCTCCTTGTAACTCTCTCTGTTTTTCAAGAGGATGTAGGATTAATTTGGAACTAAGTTACCACTGTATTTTTCATAGAAACTGAAGCTATTACTTACCATTTTCTGTTCAAATTGTTTTGGAAGCTAGTCATAAAACTGTTTTGAAATTACAAATCTAACTTCATACCTATATGGCTAAAAGTCAGATAAGGCCAGATAAACATAACCAGAACCTCACCATCCAAAACAACTTTCCATCTGAAATCTAGTTTTTCTCAGTGATCTTTTTCAATATCCAAGCTATCAGTAGTAAATTAAGAGAAATAACACTGGAAACCATCTGGAGGAACACTGTGTAACTGTAGCATTTACACGCTTAATTCTATCATCAGACACTTTTAAGTCATGTAATAGTATAATTACAGTGAGATAAATCCATTCTGTAAAACATTACATAAGCAACAAATCTGTTACAGAAAAGGCTCAATATTTGATGTTATTAGTATACTTTCACCAAACCAAACATATAAAACTCAAATGAACAAAAACAATAAATCAAGGGATAGTTTAGTCATTACAAAAATTCACTACAGGATTATGTTTTAAATAAGTTGTCCTGTATCATCTATACACAACTAGGTGAATAAAATTGTTTTTAAAATAATAAAATATGTAATTTAAGCAGCTTCACTTTAATAAATGCAACAATAAAAACTGTGATATAAATATGTAATGATACTTACAAGTAATACTAACCAAGAGGGACCTTATCCCAAATTCACAGATTTGCTTCCATTTAGCATGAAATTTGGATGTGACTCCAGGAATAATGATCTCTGCTGGAACATAGAACTGAATTGAATATGTCACAAAAATGCCAAAGGAATATAGAATTTTCACCAATTGATATAACCTGTTGAAAAAAATTCAAAATTTAGTAATTCTTAGTATCAGTCTAGTTTTCCTCTTTTTTATTTTTATAAAGTAAACAAGAAATACAGAACCCAAACTTAGGACAGAACCTATTAACCAAAAATGCTTAGTTGTTAAAAAAAAAAAAAAGCCAAGTGATCTCCCCTAAATGTCTAATGATACACATTTAACTCACTTTGAGGAGCCTCAAAGGTTGGAATGTGGTTCACAAAAATTTGGAACATATTATTTGAAGAGTTTATTTTGTGCTCAGCCAGTATTCTGAGACTACACTCAGTCCCATGAAGAACAAATGCTTTTTCAACTTTCTTTTTAAAAATTGAGGTATACCTGTATGTCTTTGAAATTCTGAGTCATAATCTCAGTGGTCTACATGTGGAAGAAAAACTTCCTATCAAACTCTGAGTTACATAGTTCTCCTTATTTAAAAATCTCAGTAGGCATGTCATTAGTTGGAGAAATGCCATGAATCCTAAGTCCAAAAGGAAGACATCTAATGGTTCATCCTGCAAAGTTCTCTAAATTATCTGTATGACCTTGGTGTTAAATCACACTCATCAGGGAAATACAGTTGTTGGGTTATTGCTCTGTCCAAGTAAATTCACCACTTTGATGCTCAGTATTTCAACACTGCATAGCAATTTCCAGTTCTATAAATATCCTTAGATTTCTTTAGTTACTTATTATTTATATCTTTTATTATTGATTTTTGTGTGATACATAAAAGTTGCACACATTTAGAGGGTACAGTGTGGTATTTCAGCACATGTACATGATGTGTGATGATCTTTAGATCTCTATCTTGTTGATAGCCTCCTCTCAAAGCCTAGCATGCATTTCTTGATAAAGACCTTGGTAAAGTTCCTTCAGCAAAAGATGACTTTTTCAATATTGAAAATCACAGGGCTTAGAAGAACATTACAGACTGATGATGCCCTTGGGTTACCAATAATAAAGTGTTGCATTTTTAGTATGTTAATACTTTCCAACAATCAAAAGAAATATCCAATCACTCTTATTTTTTAAAGAAACAAACTAAAAAGGAGACCATGCTGTGGCATTAAGGGCTGTAATGAAAACACGTTTTGTTTCAGCAGAAATATCACTGATAGCCACAATTTTCCCATCTATGAGTTACTTTTATTTTATTTAATTTTTTGTGGTACCGGATGCTGAACCCACTTTCTACCACTTGGGTCATTTCCCTTCCCCATTGTTTGTATTTTGAGATATGGTCTAGCTAATTTTCCCTGGCTGGTCTCAAACTCACAGAATCCTCCTGCTTCTACCTCCTGAGTAGCTAGGATTGCAGGTATCAGCCACTATACCCTACTCCCACCTATAAGCTCTAAAAACAAATGCTATCATTTTAAAAGGCTACAAACTATTCCACTTTGGGTAAAATGGTTAATTGGACTTTAAGCTTACATTAGACTTAAGGCAGTAAGGATTATAACCAGTTCTCTAACTGATGGCCAAATCAGTAAGTTTCCTTTTGTAACAACATAGTAATCATAGGCATGAGAAGAAATAAGGCTTAGTAGAAATACAGCATGTAAGAAATAAAGGAATTCTTTAGGCTATCAAAAATAAACCTTAATTTTAAATTAGCTAAGGATGCATTTCTCAGCTTGAGGCTTAAAAGTTAAATAACTCTAAATTCAAGTTATTGAAAATATACAAACTAAAACCAAAAGATTGGTGGTTCACAGGCTCTGATATGCAATTGCAGAGAATTAAATGAATGCTCTCATTAATTTATTACTAATTTAAAAGAATTGCATTGCTTTTTGAAGCTCACTTCCAAAGTTCCTAAGACTTGAGACTGTTTTGGTCTTCTCTATACAGGCCTGCAATGCATTTAGTAGGTGACACATATTAACGTTAATTAATCATATGGACACCTTACATTTAAAAACCCAACTTGGGAAATCGGTTGTTGGCTGATTCTTTCTCTCGAGGTTGAATACAGAAGTTAGCCTTGAAATACTTGATAACTCACTTTCCCTCTTTGTTCTTTCATCAAAGTCAGGTTGAGAATCTTGACAGCTTAGCTCTGTCAAGAGGAAAAGTCACACCAACGGAGGACTAGCTATAATCCAGTAACCATCTTCAACATGTTCCCTAGAACATAAGCTTTACCAAGGCTTTTATCTGTTCCCTCGGTATCTCTAGAGTGAAGAGAACTTGGGACATACTCAGCATGCAGTAAATACCTGTTGGATTAATGAATGACTTTGGTAGACACCCTTCATTTCAAGTCTAACATAATTCATACCAGCCATCTTCATACCAGAGGCAGTTTGCACCAGATCCCGCATTACAGGCAACTTTAATATCAGAAGTCGATTACTAAGAGGTTGTGAGGATATACGAATCTTCTTTTTCAGTGTCCTCACATTTACTTAGATAGTTATTACTGACTGACTGATTTGGTGCCTCTTGGTGAATCCACTCTTTCCTAAATACCTTCATGTAGGTGCCAACCTCCTTGAGCTTGGCCCACTGACTACCAGGACATCACGGATGGCAGCTGGATTTCTTGCCACTACACATCAGTTTTTTCCCACACTGTTCAGACTCCGATCTCTAGCAGGCTACAGATAGGGACTCAGACTTGTGCTGCCCACCTGTTACCCCAGCTAGCAGAAAGCACAAATAGGAGGATCAAGGTCATAAAGGGAGGCCCTATCCCAAAATCGACCAACATGAAAAGGGCTCTCGGAGTGGCTCAAGTGGTAGAGCACCAGTGTAGAAAGCGTGAGGTCCTCAGTTCATCCCTCCCGTACAGGGGTGGGGGAAGCACAAAACGAACGTGAAGAAATGAAACTACAACAAAAAGAAACAAAGAAAAGTCTCTGCTCCTATGAGGTATGTCATCACCTGAGAGGCCTCCTTAAGACAGAACACAAATGCTATTTGCTATTCCTTCTGCTTACGACATGCTCCCAGCACTTTTAGCTTAAAGACAGGGTCTCCTGTTTTTACCTGGGGTATTCTGGACAGTGATCCTCCTATTTGTGCCTTCTGTGTAACTGGGATTATAGGAATGAACTACCACATGGAGCTTTTATGTTGAGATGGCGTCTTGCTAACTTTTTGCCAGGCTGGCAGCACACCCTCTCAATCTTCATCTCCCAAGTAGCTGGGATTACAGATGTGAGCCACCACACCCAGCCTAAAAGGTGCAGTGTTTAACAGTAGAGCACAAACTGATGCTGTGCTGAAAGTAGGCCATTTGTGGTACTGCCCCCAGGGGAACTGCCTTTTTCTTTCCTCTGCTATTTCGGTTACTGCTATACTTTGGTAAGTGTGCCCCAGAGGCCCATGTAGTACAAGCTTAGTCCCCAGCTTGGAACTTTTAGGAGGCTGTGAAACCTGTAAGAGGTGGGGTCTTGTGGGACGTCTTCAGGTCATGGGGGGAGGCTGCCTTTGAAGAGGCAGAGGAACACAGCCCCTTCCTCTTCAACTTTCCCACTGCTGGGCCCTGAGGTGAGTGGGTGGCTTCGCTTTGCTGTCTCTCATCATGATGTGTTGCCTCAACACAGGTTCAAAGCAACAGAGCCAATTACTCATGGACGGAAATTTCTAAAACTGAAAGCCAAATAGATTTTTCCTTACTTTTTCACTTTATAAGTTTATTATCTGAGGTATTGGTTAAAACAGAAAGTAAGTTATTTTACAGAGAAACTTGGAAAAACACTGCTAAAACACTACTTGATTAGGACTAGAGGTGGTGTCTTGTTCACATGGGGAGTGCTTTTAAACCTGAACAGTATTCAGTAATTCTGCACCAAGTGCCTCCCGGGTGTGAGTCATCGTCTAGATGGCAGGACGATGGGGAACACAGACCTGGAAGGTGCAGAGCCCATCCTCGCACGCTAAGGTTCTATCCAGCTCAGAATCATGAATTTGCCTCATTATCACCTTTAAATCACACTCTTCACTTCACATGCCAAATTTATTACGTTGAACAGTGTTGCTCATAAACAGTTTTTTAAAGAGATATGTCAGTGAGATTGAGAATATCAATAACTTGGAGCTTCTCTAAGCCACACTTCCTTTACCCTAGTGTTTCTCTCCAATTCAATCTTTCCTTGAAGAAAACCCTTACAGATGCAGACTGTCAATCAGTTTGGCCTCAAAAGCTGTTTGGCGTCTCTTAACATTAGTTCCCTCGGTCGCTCTGGTGACGGCCATCCTCTTTCACACTCAGTGGTACACTGTGCCTTCCATGGCCGCTTCAATTAAACACGGCAAGAGAAGGCAGGAAGTATATTATGAAAAGAATCTCAGACAGTACCCCAGGGTCACTGTAGTCACTCTCGCGTTATAGAAGGCTGTAACTACAAGAATCTGCACTCTACTCCAGTGCAGCCACGGACTGTGTTGTCCTCAGGGTGAATATTAACAGTCCCACAACTGCAAGCCACACAAAGCCTATCTCCATCGTGAAGTAATGAACAGGAATTAGCGAACAGAAGTTCTCTGAAAGGAAGTATTTATCTTGACTTGCTTTCCCGTTTGCCCTAGGCTTTTATTATTTCTTACAATAATATTTGTAGGCTTTTTTCTAGATGAAAAATCAGGAGACTTGCTAGACTTTCCTTGAGTGCAACTATGACCTAACAGTCTCCTTGTAATTGAGAGCACAGCTAATTCCATTCTAACAGGAGATTCAGAGGACCAGAGAGGAGGTGAGAGGTGCAGAGGGGCTGCGGCAAAGAGATGGGCCACTTGGAGCTACTGCAGGGACCGTGTTACCTCAAGACTGAACTCCCCCTATTCTTGTCCACTGCTCCTTCATGTTTTTAGCTGTCTGGGGATAAAAATATCTTAACTTGAATGGGTCCATACTTCCACTTCAGTCCCTTCTCTGATAAGATTTTCCTTAAATGCTTTTGAGAATAAGAGAAACAAAAAATTGCGAGATTGTTTCTACCTACATTTTATATTTGACATTAAAAACGCCTGTTTAGGGCTTGGCACAATGACTCATGCCTGTAATCCCTGGTTCTTAGGAGGTGCAAACTGGGAGGATTGCAATTTGAGGACAGCCAAGCAAAACGCTATTGAGACCCCATCTCAACAAATAATCTAGATGTCACGGTGTGTGCCTGTAATCTCATCTACATAGGAGGACTTAAACACTGGAATCATGGTCCAGGCTGGCCTGGGCAAAAGCACAAGACTCTATCTGAAAAATAACTGAAGCAAAAAAGGTTGGGGACATGGGTAAAGTGGTACAGCACCTGCCTAGCAAGCACTGGGCACTGAGTTCATCACATTACAGCCAAAAAAATTTTTTAAGCCTGTCAATTTTCTTAAAAGAATACATACAAATGGCCAACAGATATATGAAGAAAATGCTCTACAGGGGTAACGCACTGTATTAAATATGTAAGGTCTTATCTACGTGGGTTTGATTACAGAAACTAATAAAGTATTCTCTAAATAAAAAAAAAAAGAAAATGCTCAGTGAGATTATACCACCTTACTCCGCTTACAGTGGCTATTACCAAAAGATGAGAAGTGCTGGCAAGAATCTGCACAACACTGGCAGCCACTATGGAAAACAGCTCAAAGTTCCCCAAAAAAACAAAAATACAACTACTGTGCAAACCAGCAATCCAGTGCTTGATACATCAAAAAGATACCTGCTCTCCCATGTTCATTTTAGCACTATTCACAGTAGCCAGGATGTGGAATCAATGGTCATCAACAGACAAATGCATAAAGAAAACGTGCTATCGTACACATACTTAATATAATACTATTTAGCATAAAAAGCATGAAATCCTGTCAATCATGACAAGCATGGACCTGGAAGACAGTATGTTAAATAAGAGGTACAGAAAGAAAAATACTGAATGACCTCACTGGTAACGGGATCTAAACAACTGATCTCACAGAGTGGAGAGTAGACTACTGAGAAGAACAGGGGAGCTGGATGAGGAAGGCAGTCAATGGGTGTAATGTTACTGCTTGCTAGAGAGTAAGCTCTGGTGGTCTATGGCATAGCAGGATGTATTAGTCGGGCTTCTGCATCACTATGATCACAATACCTGAGAGACAACGTAAAGGGAGATTTATTTTAGCTCATGGTGGGGACAGATTGTATCATGGCAGGCGGGAAGCAGAGCAAAGGGGGTGCAAGAGGGGGTCAGGCCATCAGCGACCTACTTCCTCCAACTAGGCCCTATCTCCTACCTTTTACAACCCCATGATGCCATCACTGTATGCATCCATCAAGGGACAGATCCACTGATTAGGTCAGAGCCCTCACGAGCTAATCGTCTCTGGGAACACCCAAGGTGTGCCTTACGAACCCAATGAAACTAACAATCACAGAGAGTGAGTATAATTAATAATCATGCATTATCTCAAAATAGTTTCAAGCAAAAAAATCTGAATGTACAAGCATGGAGAATAATGAAGGTTTAAGGTGATAAATTTGTAATTAACCTTAGTTGACCACTGCCTCATGTGTGTGTAATCCATCAGGACATCACATTGTACTTCATACATACATAAAAGTACTGTCGATCAAAAAACCAAAGTAACAAAATACTTGTCAAATTTAGCATGCTTTTTAAGATTCAGTCTAAATGGTATTATATCTGCACAGTATTCAAAAAGATGAGCTACACTACATTTCTTAGCCATCACTCTTACACTAAATTGTTGATTAAAGCATCTAGTCCTTCCTAAGCTTCTTGTTCGTATTATAAAGAGGAAAAAAAGCACATTTGAAGGATACAAAATGATATAATGAATGACATGGGTTAATTAAATGGCTGCTAAACAACTATGTCTTATTTATAGCAATGACTCCAGCTTGTACCATATTTATAACATTTGAAACATGTCTCCATTTTATAATAAATGAAATACATTTATAAAATGTCAGCTAAAAGAAAACTCTTATTTTATAAAAAGATAAGCATACTTCACACGTGCCCCTATATAAGCAGAAACCACCCCAATCACATTCCCCGTGTCATAAATGGCTTCTTATGCAATTTCTTCTAATTGACTCCAGGGCTTGAATGATGAATAAGTGGTAAACCCTCATCAGGAAGCACTGGAGATACCATTTCAGCTCTTGCTGGCTTTATCTAGGTTTCAGTCTTCTATCCAAGTAGCTAAAGGAGTAGTGCTATCTAATTAAGTAATCAATTCAGCATTTATTCTTTGCATTTATCAAATCTAAGGCATTCCATTTCATTTTATAAGTAAAGTAATAGTCACGGACAACATCTTTTTAAAGTTTCCAAGGAACAACCTCTGGAAGAAGGAAAAAACATATAAATTGCTTTGTTCAGCATAGCAATAGCTTTAATATTAAAGAAAACACTCAGGTATATCATTTCATCATTTAGAGTGAGCCCCAACTAGACTCTTAAAGGACTTGAGGTACAAACAATATAAAGTTCACCAGTAAAAGAGGAACGACCATAAAATTATGGGATAGTTTATTTTATTAGAAATGCACAGTGTTTGGTTTTTTGGTAGCAAAGGAAGTTACTAATATTTTTATTAAAGTGTCTTCATATTGGATGAACCCATGGTCTGCTTCTACACTTGCCTCAAATTTAGAGTGACTTACAATTTTTAAATCCTTTTTTAAAAGAATCCCAAAAGGATTCATAAATGGTCTCCTCTGAGAATTATGAAAAAATTCTAGGTTACACAAACAAATCACACTAAAAACTTTAAATGTTTAAATCATACACCCATCAAATATTGGTCTATCTGTAAAATATGTGAACTAGAATTCACAAACTTATATTCACCTACCACACATCCTGGGGAAGATTTAAAGTTATACTGCCTTTGATCTCATCACGAAAACACATGTATCCTAAAGTAGCCAAGGTAACGTACAAAGCTGTGACAATCCCCATGCCGATGCTCAATGCTTGAGGAAAGCGTTTTGATTCTTTCATTTGGTTTTCCAATGGAAGGACCTAAAAATAGGATGAAATTATTTTTTGAAGGACACAGAATACAAATATCTCAAAATAACAGCATCTCATATATACAAATTGGTCTATATACAAATTTTTTCTTTGAAGACGACACATATAATTGTTAGGTATTTTTCTATGTGCTATGTGTTTTTATACTACATACTTTTAATTCTTAAGAAGATTTGAAAACCTGCTCTTAGCAGACAAACTTACCAGTTTTTTAAGTAACCTTTTTATTTTAGAGTAAGTTACATTTACAAAGAAGTTGCAAAGAAGACACAGAAACCTCATACACACCCGACACAGCTTTCCTGCTGTTAACCTTTCCTAGTACCCTGGCATGAACAGCACTGGGACATGACTGGTAACTGAACTCCAAACTTCATTTGAATTTCATTAGTTTTCCACTAATGCCTTTTCTCTGTTTCAGGCTCTCATCCAGAAAAATCACCTTGCTTCCTTAGTCTCCTCTGGTCTATGAGTTTCTCAATCCTTCCTTGTTCTTCATTATCTTGACATTTTTGGAGCAGTATTAGTTGTTTTACATTACGTTTCTAACATGGGTTTGTCTACACTTTCCTAGTCATTAGACTGGTATTACAGGTTTTAGAGGACACCACAGAGAGGAAGCGCTCTTCTCATCAGACATGTTATCCTGATGGCAACCTACCTAGCTGTTTCCCAGGATTCTCTGTTGTAAAGCTACTTTTCTTCTCCCTCCTCATACTCTCTTTATTGAAAGTGAGTCTCTAAATCCAGCCCATATTTCAAGGACTAAGGGGGAATGAACTCCCCAAAAGAGTTTCCTCTTTTCCAGCTCTACATGAACTACTTGGGAGTCTTTCCCATGTGTTTGTGTATGTTAGCATGGACTTGCATGGATCTGTTTTACACATCAGGCTAACACCCGATACTCTTTTATTCCTATTGTGCAGCACTGTGAATTCTCCCACAAAGGCTCCTGTGTCCTTTCACAGGCCTCCACTTTTGTTTTGGAGCACTTTCCCGCTTTATAGCACAAGAAACTCCACATTCATCTTACTTATTTGCTTCCACCCTAAATCAGACATTTTTCTCCAAAGAAGTATGGTTGACTTTGGAGAATGGTGCTTAAAAATCAGATCTGGGTGCTGGTGTGCTTGTTCCTACTGGGTATCACTGCTTGTAGGCCTCAGGAGACAGAGGTAGGTAATGTACTCATGTCTGCTGACCCACAGACACATCTGTGACTATTTCCATGCATACACCTATACTACTGTTTGTCAGTTTTAGTAAGACCAATAGATGACTTTCATTGTGTAAAAAAAACTTTTAAAGAAAGTCAGTAAAGGCTAAAAAGAAAAGTTTTTTCAGCTAATCTTCAGAGGGTTTGGTCATACAATTTGATCCTATTAATGAAAACCCTGGGTAATTACAATAGCAAGTATTTACTTGAGTGTTTACAATATGGTAGGTATTATTCTAACAGCTTTGCAAGCAGCATCTCACAGTCATCAGTACATCCCAATATGATAATAACTCTACTATTATCCCCACTTTTCCTGAAAGTAAGTTAGCTATTAAGAGCACAACAGAGTGAAGAAGGGGTGATTCTGTGGAGACCTTCCAGATCCCATCAGGGATGAATGTGCCAGTGCTGTTAGAAAAGAGAGGGGGGAGGAAACTAACATTTCCTAAGCCTCCTCTGTGACACACAGCATTGCAGGTGTTGTATGTATAATATGCTTTCTGGAACAGACTGGAGAAATAGGAAAGAAGAATCAGCATGCCTGAATAACTGACAGAATGGGGAATGAACAACAGAGTGAGAAGGATTTACTGCAATGTTTCAGCACAGTTAAGCTAACAAAAAAGGACAATGAGAAAGTGAAGCTGGTTCTGGATGAGAATGTATGTGATGGACTCTGAAGTTGTTGAATCTGAGATGTCAAAGACAATGCTTAACTAGAAATTTCCAAGAGTTAACTAAATACTAGAACTCACCAGTTAAACACAAAAATTAAAATTAAATAGATGTGAAAATTCTCTAAAGGAGAACTCAGAGAGCAAAACCCCATGTCAAATGGTATATATCTTTTCAATCTATTCTGTCTGGGGTTCAGATAGATGATAGATAGACAGAGAGACAGATAGGTATTTACAGCAATTTTGCTCCCATACCAAATCATCAAACTATGGAACAAAGTAAATTCAAATAGTTTACTTTCCCCAAATCTACAAATTCTAAGTTATATACAAAGTGGAAGAAACTTAAATGGATATTTAAGAGCTTTAGGATGCCTTTATCTCTTAGCATTAGCTTTGGGGTAACAATGTTTTCAAAAAAAAGAAAAGAAAAGAAAGCATGACATGCACACATCTAAAGGGAGAATTTGTATTTGACTTTTATATGACAATAACTCTGTCAAATAATCTAGCCTATAAAATATGACACTTGGGATGTGCTTGAATATGTGGGATATGGATAAAACTGAATTGGCCATGACTTAAATTTTTGAAGCTGGGTGTTATGTACATAGAAGACCATAATACTACTCTTAAATTTTGACAAGGTTTGAAATTTTCCACAGTACAATGTTAAAAACCATCTAGTCTAATACCATTATTCTATTTATAAAGAAAAAGAATTAGAGACCCTGAGTTATATGTTTAAGAGCAATCTACTGGTCAGTGGAAGAATGATCAAGTCTGTCAACACCAGATTGGAAATCACATTCTAGAATAAAGACAAGTGAAACAAAAAAGGGAAACATTAGTCAGGTACCTGTGGCTCATGCCTGTAATCCTAGCTACTTCGGAGGCTGAGATTGGGAGGATCACTCACGGTTTGAGGTTAGACAGGGCAAAGAGTTTTTGAGATCTCATCTCCAAAATAACCAGAGCAAAATGGACTAGAGGTAGAGCTCCTGCTTTGCAAGCATGAAGCCCCAAGTTCAAATCCCAGTCCCACCAAAAAAAAAGGCAGGGGAACATGCATTTTTATGTGGTTTCACTATACAAATCCTAGTGTGGAGTTTTTTTAAATAATAATAAACACTTATTCTTACCACTCCTATGCCTTCAAAGGCAAATACAGCAGTACCAAAAAAAAGTGGGTATTTTTTCCAACCAGCCACTACTGGAAGATTGTGGGGATCTGGCATGTTCTGCAGAAAGGAAGGGGGAAAGACAGGTTACATTTTTACTTATTGTTAAGAATTGAAAATGGAAGCAAAATCATGTTCTCCTGGGCTTCACAGCAGCAAACATGGGTTACAAAGTGAACATTTCTTTCAATAAACACAATAAGCATCCTATGTTACATGTGGCTAAGCTGTTAGGATTAATTGCCAAAGCAACTGTTTCCCTCATGCCCACACATTCCATCTAACTGAATGCTCCTGATTATCTGTTCTACCTGCAATCCAGGCTGTGCACTGGACAAGGCTCCTGTCATAACAGGAAACACACAAGCAGCTCAGGTCTCAGGTACCCACTGCTGCTGCTGTCTCCACTCCATCACTGCTCCCTCGGTTCTCTACAGCACCTGGTCCTGACCTAGGCTTTCTATCTCACAACTCTGCTGCTCCCCAGAACAGGTCTCTTCCAGCTTCATGTTTACTCTTTGACATGACAGTTGTTATTACCCTTAGTATTTATCTATATATGCCCTCACACTGCCTTTGACAACTTGGCCCCGACTCACAGCTTCACAATCTAGACAAACTCACAAACAGCACACCTTATTCAAGATCTGTAGCACCACAATGACTACTTCTTCTAAATCCCCCAAGTCTACTCCCTACTCCCCACCATCTTGAGTTCACTGTCTTACCTAATCAGAAGTAAAATTCAAGGCCAAGGGAAGACCGAAGTGTAAAAGCCCTTGGATAATTTGGGGAATAGAGAGGTCGGTACACCTGAAGCACACAGCACTGTGTGACATGACTTAGTGACACATGAGTGAAAACATGTGGCAGTGTGAGAATGGAAAGGGACCCAAAGGCCAGGGTCATCCGATATTACTAAACCGTTATTCAAGGCGAGCATGAGGCTATTTCACTTCCCCGTGCATGAGCTCACACTGTTCCCTCTGCCCCTATGGGAATGACCTTTTCTGTCCCACTAAGTCTTAAACGTTCAGCTAGGGTCACAGACCCTAAAATCCTTTTGTGATCTTCTTTCCTGTTTTACTACATTCATATGTGCTATGAAAAAGAATACAGGTTTGGGAATTCAGAGATGGGAAAACAAAAAAGACTCCCCAGAAGAGTTTGCAATGAATTGTAATAGAGATTTTACAATTACCTTGAAAGAAGGTATAGGATGGGTTAGACAGGAGGGAACAAAACAGGGTTCTCAACCATTTAGGGTCATTGGCCCCTTTCAGATACGAAAGTCCTCTCACTGCTTAGCAGGAAAATGCATATACACATAAGGAAATGCTAAGTCTTACAAAAATTCTAAGGGACTTTCAAATTCCTAAATCCAAAGAAATCTTTTTAAAGCAATTGGGTAAAGAATCCCAGACCACAGCTGATGAAATCAGTGCATGTTTTACATGCAGTCCAGGAGAAGGGGCCACAGCCTCACAGAGTGGAGCAGACTTAGGCAGTGATAAGAAAATGACAGAATTACATACATATCCATCCCTTGTGATTGGGTTGGCATGTGATTTTAAAATTTTAAATGAGTAACAATACACTCAATGAGTTGTCCCATGTGAACACTGTATTAAGAGCACAATCCTAAATCTCACAACATCTCTAATAGGGTGGGTAGGTACCACAAATTCTGAAGCATATTTGCCAAGAGTCAAAACCAGACCTGAGTACAAAGCCTGTACCTGTCATGTCTGTCACACACTTTTCTAGTCAAAAGTTCCCCCAAGGATAACAGTAACTGCTTGTCTGCTGTGTGCCTCACATCCAGTGCAGGTCTTTACATATCATACTATTACCTCTAAGTAAACAAAAGCCTTACTTAAATGTGACATTTTGCTAAAAATGTACTACCCTCACAACATATTGGTAAATTATCACGAGACTGACAGCCATGGAAATGTTGGCAAGAAACGAAAGCACAAACAGATTCTTTAGCTCACGAATGAAGACCAGAAGAATTACAAATGGAAGAAAGCAAAGCATGTATATCCTCAGGTCCACAGTTCTCCTCTCACATGCACTAGATGAACTGGAAGTATTCGAAGCAAACACTCTGCTTTCCAATAATCCTTCATGAACCTGTATCAGATTAGCAAAGGAGTAAGGAAGCAGGGAAAACATCCAACTTACAAACATAAAAGGTACACAGAAACCCATAATCTATACACACTACGATAGATTCCCAGGGCATGCACTATAATAAATAAGATATTTACATATTTTCAAGATATTCTGGCTTCCTAGAAACTCTTACGTATGTTAGACATCAGGTGTAAGGATAACTGAGGTAAGAGAATCTCCTTTGGGAGATAACTTCTTATATTGTACTGTAAAAATAAAGTCCACTAGGAAATTATGGCGATGGATTTACTAATTTACTTTGGAGCTCTGTGACTATCATGCTCAAGTTCCCAGCAAAGGTCTTGAAGATCTGCTCTGAGATCTCAGTACCTTCTTCAGAGTAGGAAACGAGTGCTAAGTACTTCTCCGAAATGCAGCCAAAGCAAAGTTTAAAGACCATGCAGAAGGCAACTGCTTATAGATTACCACCACTATCATACATATTTTCTAAGTCGCCACCAGATTCATGCACGGCCATTTGCTAGACAGCAGGTCACTTCTGCTTGAGTAGAAATCTTTTACAAGATAAACCAACTTCATCTGAAAACTTATTCACCCACTTCCATAACCCGATTTTCAGATTTACTATTTGCAGGTTCCACATATTAAAAATTGTCTGTGATTCAATTAATCATATAATCCAACTTACTAAAATAGATGAAATTTATAGAAGATTTTAGAAACAATTTTAAAACGTACAGCCAAAGAAATCACACTGCAATATAAGTACCAATGAAAACCCATTTTCCCCACACTCTGCACCCTCCTTGGAATATACTGCTACAATCAAGAGCCTGGATACATAGATTCTTAAGAAGTTGACTATAATCACAACAGCTAGTACCATTTAGCACTTTTTTGTATCAGGCACTGAACTACGTGCTTCATATGTACGTCATTAAATCCTCAAAATGGCTCTCAGAAGTGGGTTACAGTACCAATTTCAATTTAAACTACAGGAAACTGAAGCTTAGAAAGTAGAAAAATTTACGTAATATCAAGCTAGGGAGTAGGGGTTGTAGAATCCAAACTTAGGCCTGAGAATTGTGAGAGCTCCATGTTAACCTGACCAAATTCTGCAACATAGAGAGGGTGCTCTGAGCAAGTGCCACCTGCCTGCGCTGACACATCGCTCTTGAGTGGAGAAAGAGGCCAACAAGTCAGAACTTTGAAACAAAGCTCTGATCAGGTTGATAATTCAAGAGTTTCCTTTACTTTACTGTACATTTGTAATTTATGATAAGCAATGCTTAATGTCACTCAGGTGGTGGGGACTTCATCTACTACATTTTTAAGCTATGTGGCAATTTATAACTCGCACTCTCTCGTGCTATGCCACGCACCATTTAAGAGATGCATAGCTCACCGTTATCTTTCTGGTAACTGGCATTGGAGCTTTATATTTTAGTTTCTATTAATCTGAATTGAAGCAAAACTGGCAACTTGCATCCTTTGGCATTAAGAAGAGAGCTCATTACTAACTCAATTCTTGCAACAACTAAATTGTTTAGAGCCAAGGGCTTCTTATCAAAGCAGTACCTCTGAAAACAGTATTAGATAAAGGTGAAAGTTAAGCTCTAACATGAATTTCTGGCAAAAAATAGACAGTAACACAAACCATTTTTAAAGGGCTGTCTGAATTACTGGGTGCTTGGTAACTTAAAATTAATTCTATCATAAATATAATATTTTAGCATTCATTGGTAGAAAGATGGTTATGACAATTCTCAGGATTAAAAATTACAATAAAATAAAAATGTAGATACATACCTAGAGCAAGATTCAGGTAAACATTTGAGTCCTTTGGTGCCCTCTAGAGACAGAGATGGGCTATCTAATAGGACTTCTATGGTCTCACATGTTTACCATGTACACTAGAACAAATATTATAAAATAAAATTACTAAATTCAGTTCTTTCCATTTAGACTTCAAATTTACTAAAATCTACTACATCTTAACTTTTCAATGGCTTATAATTTAATGGTTAAAGTTCCAAAAGCAAATTAAGTTCTTTGGTAAAGCTAAAGAATTAATGTATACTTCCCTACATTTAAATACTGTTTTATGTTTTACAAAGACTTTCACAAATCTTTTATCAGATGAGTCTCACAATAAGTTTATCAGGAACAAGGGAAGATTTTGTTACTATTCCTATTTTACAAACAAGGAAGCTGAGGCTTGGCCAGGGATAAGAGGTCTTACCCACTGTCAGAGCTAAATCTGAGAGCAAGGATTTGGTCTCCTATCTTCTGACTCTGCTGCGAATGTAAACTACATTTCCCCATCTCCATTCTCCATGCCAAAACACTGTCTCATCTATGTGAACTTTTCCAGAGTATCTCAAGAGTGAGACAAGGAGGAGCTACCAGAACTATGGCAGATGAGAATCGCCAATCCAGTGTTTTTCCCCTACCATCTATCATAATGGTTTAAAGGGACCAAGATCAGCTACGGTGCAGGTTTCCACGTGTCTGACAACTAAACCATTAATTCTTTGGGTTATGGAAATATTGCACCTTCAGTCTCACGCATATTAGGGAAGTACCAACCCCACAGCTTGATCCTAGAGTTTTCATTAACAATGTGCTTATACTGTCACATCTCTGCAGAGTGGCACTCTCTACTCCATGATGCTCAGACCTCACCTCTTCTGCCCAGGTGATGTGTCACTGCTCTCAACTACTTTCCAAAGCCTGCTCTTATGGCTCTAAAGGGCTTTCACCTTTCTATCTACAGCAGGCATTCTGCTTACCTCCCAGAGAGTCACTTTTACTTTTGTTTTGTTTTTTCGGCAGTACTGAAGTTTGAATTCAGGGCCTGCACTTGCTAGACAAGCAAACACTCTACCACTTGAACCCTGACCCCTATCCCCAGTCCTTTTTTTTGCTTAAGTTATTTCTCAGGTAGGGCCTAATGATTTTACCCAGGACCAGTGTCAGACCACAAACCTCCCCTCACACAGCTGGGATTATAGACATGTACCACCACACCCAGCTTGGTGGTTTTTTGCCTGGGCTGGTCTTGCACTGCAGATCCTCCCAAATTGCTGAGTTTTATAGGCATGCGCCACCACACCCCACTTGAAAATTAATTCTCTACCCCATCTTCCAGATATGCACAAATGAGTTAAACTTTTCCATTCAACTTTGGAAGCAACTGATCATATTTCATAGGAGAAAGTTATCCAAAACTTTTAGGCATTTATTTTCTCCTGTTTTTTTACTCTGTTATACACACACACACACACACACACACACACACGCATGTACCTAAAATCAGACAACATTCTGTCCAGTGATAAACAACACGTTAGGTGGTAAGCCAGGTGTGGTGGTGAATGTCTGTAAACCCAGAAGCAGATGGATCATGAGTTCAATGCCACAGCAAGATTCTGTTTCCAAAAACACCCACAGCGAATGTTAACTGTGACAAAGACCTAGGTTGCAACCTAATTACACAGACTTTAGGATATATTTCTCATGTTTTGTAAGACTGCTTCATAAAAATAAGCACACCATGTACTTCACAGAGTAATTATAAAGATCAAAATGCTGTATATCACAGCATGCAATATAAATCATAAGGCATTATTCCTAGGTTAAACAGAGCTTACTGATCACTCTCAGCACACATGAGAAACAGAGGAGTGCTGCCATCTTGCACAATCCTAAAATTCATTTCTTCATCGTAGTCCCATGTGAATGACTGGCAAGATGGTACATGTTATCAGCGCTTGACATCAACATCCTTATGAGGAATGGGGAGTCCTAGGAATATGCAATTTTTGGCACATCATCTACAACAAGTAATGCTAATGGAAGCACTGACACTTTATTTGATAAACAAGAGCACAAGCAGAACTGCTGGTTCTTTCCATCCCCTCACATGTCTCTTCTCTACATGCTGTCACTGGTCTCTCGCTCTATTCTACAATAACATATATCTGAGAGAACACCTGTACCTAAAGGATCAGCACAAGTTTAAGTTACAAATTTTTCTACCAGAAAAGTTTGTTTCGTAAGTTGTCCTTTCTCTCATAGGATTTGGGAGTCTAGTGGTGGAAATCAACCTATAAATTAACTTTAATACAGTATGATCAAGGTTATTTTTTGAAGTCTTATAGAAGTGAGGAGAAAATAATAAATTCCAGGAAGAGGTGAAGAAAAGGATGTCATGGAGGAACAGCTATGGAAGGTTTCCCAGGTGACACTGAAACTGGGTTGGGAAATTTTCCAGAAATACACAAAACTTTTATAAATGCTGAGATGTGGAAATAAAGCGCTCACAACTAAGTGTGACCCTTTAAAGACCCTCTCATTTCTGTACAACAGCTCCACCAACTCTTTCAACATTAAACAGCTGTGGCTCAAGTGTAATCTACAGGGATGGACAAAATCAGGGGTTGGCAAAGCACAACCTGCAGAGCAAATATGGTCCACCATCTGGTTTTGCAAATAAAACTTTACTGGAATACTGCCACATTTATTTGTTTACATATTGTTGTCTATGGCTGAGTTGAGTAGTTGCAACAGAACCATATGGCCTGAAAAGCAGAAAATACTTTTTACTTAACATTTTACAGAAAGTTTGCCAATTCTTGGTCTTAACATAAAATGAAGCACACTTTGTATTTAGAAAAGAGAGTCAAATGTATACTTATATATACTTCAGGTTCTTTAGAAAACATATTTACATCATCATCTTGTATTAAACATCTGTAAGACAATATTTATTACGTATAATGTTTACTGCACTATATATATTTGGATAATTAATGTTATTGGCTGAAAAGATGGTTAAAGAAGATGGGGGTAAATAGGAATTAGTACCAGTCATAAAGAAATATGTCTGACTGTTTTGGCGTGAGTTTTTAGTCTGGTATTTTGCACGCTTGTCCACACAGACTGTCGACTGTGTTTGCCATCAAAGCTGCAAACCACCTCCTCTTCAAGCAAACCCTTCTAACACAGACAGAATATAGAAAACTATAATGCTCAGATACTACCTTTTTAAACAATGGCAGCAATTACTGGATTTTAGTAAGAAATGCTCACTTTCTATAAACCTCACTCTTTTGGGCTGCTGGATAATCCATGTACTCTCTATAGAATATCAGAGTAAAGAATACGACCCTGAAATATCTATACATATGCTTTTGAGATCTAAATTTTGGGGGGTTGATTTTTTATTTTGAGGGACTGGGTCTTGCTCTGTAACCTTGAACTCACAATCCTCCTGTCTCAGTTTTCTGAGTGCTGTGACCATAGACATGTGCCAGTATCCCAGGCTAAATTTCAAGTCACTAAGTATTAGCAAATCATGCCATGGTCTGATCTGAAAGAATAGACATCATTGATACCATAAAACAAACAGAAAAATCAAAATAGTATCAGAAATCCAACTTGCAAAACAGAAGACTAAAGGAAAACCTGTAAATAAGAACGTTTATGAAAGGAAGACATTTTAGTATTTAACCCTGGCTTCCACAGAAGAAATATGCCGTAAGCAGAGCATTAGAAGAAAATGATTTCACTAACTAGAGAAAAATACTCACTTGCTTTACATTTTCAGCTAAGAAAACAATATAAACACTGCAGAATCCCAGCTGTGTTATCACCAGAAAAAAGTCAACCACACTCCTATAGAGAATCCACGAATAAGTGTCAGTAAAATGGTAAAATGTCAGTGTATACTTCTCCTTTGGACTGCTATTTAGCTCCTTGTCATGGACTACTTTATGATAGATATATTTTTTACTTCCTTAAGTAAAGAACATTTAAAATGTTTGCTTCCTGCAAACATCATATATTATGATCAGTATGCCACTAGAATTATAGAGCAAGGAGGAACAGAAATGTTTCTTCCTTTTCCCCCACATCTCCCTACTTTCATCCTGTTATAGTAAATTTCTTTCCTAATAAACTTTGCTATTGTTTTCACTACAAAACAAAAAAGAATTATAGAGCAAAAGAATGCCCAATTAAATTAAAAAGCCAAGATTTTTACATCACTACCTATTCCTGAAATTCAACAGTTGGAGGACATCTGCTTATAAAACAATGTCATAAAAAATACCACACCTCTACAGCCCAAGTTCTTTTTCTGTCGTGCAGTGTATTTCCCCTCCCTATTCACGGCATTTGCAAATGTGTGACGCATGCTTGGTACTGTTCAAACCATTACTAAGGATGTAGAACGGAGAGTAAGAGGGCATAGCTTAAATCAAACCAAGAGCTCACTTACTAGTTTTTCTCTATTTTTAGTGAGTGATCTAGGAAACTCCAGCTATATAAAATACTATACAGGATGAGAAAGAAATATCACCAAAGCTAGCAGTCAAAGTGACATTATTTGGGATGGCAGTTCTCAAGTCACAACATTTGCCTCCATGTTATCAATACACAGCCACACTTCATTGTTTTGGTCCAGAGACAAGGTGTGACTGCAACAGGCATGCATCTATTAACCGATAATGGTCTCTTGTGACCATCAGTGTCAACAAAACCCACAGATCCTCCTTCTCACTTGGAATTAAAAGGCCCTGGCCTATCTTCATTCTGCCATAATGCTACCATTCTCTCCCTGGTTCTTCAGAGATATTATTTGTAAGTTACCTGGATACCTTAAAATAAATTCAAGTTTCCTTTCTCTGATGAATTACATTCAAGTATTTTAGTATTCCCTTAACATTTTTCACCTTTGATTTTAGTGTCCTACCCACAATGTTTCCAGCCATTTCTAACTGAAAGCCATTTTCCTTATAGAAGTAAACAAAGCTGCTTCTAATCTGGGGCAGAAGAAAGATGGGGTTTGGGGTTCTGGATTCTGTAGGCAAACCGAGTTCTTTTCCTAGTGTATATTATTTCCAGTGTTAGGTTCTGTCTCCTTCCTTCTCCTCAGTATATCAAGAACTCAGGAACCTCATGAACTTATGAACAAACCTAAATTTATGAAAATCACCAGAAAAGCCTTATTTAATCATAAACTACTAACATTGCTCTTTTTCTTCTTTAATTCCTACCACACACATCATCTGTACCACAGTTAGCATTTGTTGATTATTCGTGCTTTCTTAATTTTCTTAAATCCTGTGTTCACCTGGCATAGAGGTGCCATGTTACAATAAGAAAGCTATCTAACTAATAAGACAGTAAGATATAAAATACAAACAGACCTCAGAGGTTTTATGAACATATAGTAAACACCACAATTTTTGAAATAATGAGACTGTAACATTTTTCTTGATTTTTTCCTTTCATTTAAAAAATTATTAAACATGATTATCTCATTGGTTGACCAGATGCTTTATAAGTATCATTTTATTTAATCTATTATAAAAATTCTGTGAAATGTAAGTTCATTTCATAGTGAGATACTCAAACCAAAACAATGAATAATAGACCAAGGCTATTAAACAGAAAGTTGATAGAGTTAAGATTTGAACCCAAGGCTGTCTAACTCTGAAGGCCAGTTATTATATTCCCTCAGCTTTATTTATATCAGATTAGGAAACTTAAAAATTAACAAAATTTCAGCAGCTAGATATTAAAAACTTAGCAAGTGCCTACCTTCCCCAAGCTGCTTGCTTCTGAAGACAACTCCAAGGGCTGGCTTCCATAGCAAGACTCACGGTGTCACTATAACCCAAGGCTGGCTTTTTAAACCTGTCATTTAATCACACACACACACACACACACACACACACACACACACACAAAACAAGAAAACATTTAGTTGGTCCACAAAACCACTCCTAAAAAGGAACATCTAATAAGTGGAAATTAATGAAAACAGGGCCATGAAGTGATAGATTAGTTTTCAAAATGTGAAGATCTATATACTCCTAAAAACAGGCCTCAAGAAATTATAAATCTTTATCTGTCCTTTTCATCAGAATTTTAATTTTTATCTACTGCTAAAGTTTACCTAGCTACAGAATTCAGAGGAGCTAGTATTTTGCTTCGATGATTTCGATATTTCAAATACATGAAAAATTGACTAGACTGCTCCTGTTCAAATTATTTTATAATATAACTGCATGAATTTCCATTATATTCTTATGTAAAGTATCTCAATTAATCTTCAAAATAGCACCATGAGGTAGGCATTATTTCACCATTCTTTCTCTCCAACCTTCTTTTGCAAGTATGCATAGTTATTTAAACATCATAAGTGACATCTCTTTTTAAGAAATTCAACAATGACAAAAGAGCCAAGACTAGAATTCTGGTCTACTGGAATAGGATTTTTTTTTAATGGTTTGTTGTCCAGTAGAAATGTTTCATGATACAAAATAAAAAAAGGCATGTATTATTACTGATATCGACAAACCCCACATCGTACACAGCACCGAAGGCACTGTACCCAAAACTAAACTGCTAATAAATTAAAGACCTTGGGCTATAATGAAAGTGTACCACTGACTCCATTTCCTCTTTATATCTATTCTGATTTTCCCACTGGTACTAGGCAAAAAAAAAAAAAGGCCACCCTATCTCATAATAAGGTTCATATCATAAGTACTATGAAGATCCTCGTTTGTGGATTCAATCAAACATATATGAAAAACACTGTATTGGATATATTCGATTCATTTTTCATGTCATTATTCCCTAAGTAATACAGCATAACAACTATTTGCATTGCATCTACTGTATCAGGCATTACAAGTATAGAGATGATTGACTTATGAGGAGGAAGTGCTGTGCACCACGCAAACACTCCACTGCTGAGTGTGAGGGACTTGTGCGGCTGCAGATTTGGTGTCTGTGGAGATGGGACCAATACTCCGAAGAATGTCAAGGATGACTAAACAGATGACTACATTTACATCTTATGCAACGCTACCCCACCCCATACTCATTATCTTAGATGTGTCTACATACAGATGAAAGGAAATACAGCTCTGGTTGAAAAGCACAGACATATAAGGCTGATGCTCTAAATAAGCAACACAGCTTTAAAATAAATTAGACTTAATGAATCCACATTTACCTCTGACACAGAAAAGTGACTGCAACGTACCAGTATGTGTACAGTGAACAGGAAATGATTCCTGTGAACACAAGGCTGATTGCCCAAGCTGTGGGAAAGAAAATGCAAAATTTATAAATA